ATGTACCCAAAATGCACTTAAATAGTGATCTGAATCCACTTTTAGAGTAAAAGCAGGTGTAAATGGAAAGGTAACTGGGTTCTTTTTCTCTTTTGCTAACTGAAAGAGGTCTGAGTTTGGTAAAGAGCTGCTAAACATGGGATAAAAATGACTTAATGATTTCATAATTCAAGGCATCATTTGATAGTTTGTTTTTGCATACACTGTTTATCATATCACAATGGACCATTGTGCAGCCTAGACAAAGAGATGGGTTATGAACCTGTCAAATCTTTCTGTAACTGTCTCTCTTTTAGATCCCTATCTTCCCTGAAGATCTCTTCTTTAGCACAGATGTAAAGGAAGAAATTAAGGAACTGGAGAATATTACAAGCTCTCAGGGGCTGGTGAGTGGGTCACTGATTTTTTGCTCTGGATACATTTAGCTTTTTCCTTTAAGGAGGGAAAGAAGTGTTTATTTATCTTTCCTTTTTTCTGAGTTCGCAATGTGTATAATACTGTATATTTACTTTTCAGGACACCCTCCCATTAGTGGACCAACAGCTTCTCTACACTTGCTGTCCATATTTAGGTGAGAGTGAACTGTTTGGGAAAAAATGTGTCTTAAAGTTATGTATTTTACCAAGCTTCGGTTGGAATAGATTCCAGTTGTGGGTGATGGATGTATCTTTATGTCATTCTTTTGGCAGGGGAGTTTCGTAAACTTCTTGCTGCTTTCGTGGCTGGTAGTACATCCAAGAGCGGAGGCTTAGTTCGCAAGATCACCCCCACGTCTGCAGAACTGAGGGGACCTTCCACCACCCGTTCACAGCAGAAACTTCAGGTGTGCTGCCAGCAAAATGCCTTCCATCTGTAGAAGAATTAAGGGCGTGTCGTCCATGTGTGGCTGGTCATGTTTTTCCATGTGTTTTTCCATAGGTTGACCTGGAACATGCCTTCTTTCACAACCAGCCCCCATCTCTCAGACGGACTGTAGAGTTTGTTGCTGAGAGAGTCGGTTCCAACTGCGTCAAACACATCAAGTCAGTCTCTCACCATTTAGTCAGTTTTATGGCTTTTTCTGTGTGTTAGTCTGTGTAAATCAATTAAGATTTGCTTTTCATTTCATATTTTCCTAACTCTGTGTGTGGTAGGGCTACGCTTGTGTTGGAGCTCGTGAAGGGTGGAGAGAAAACTCTCAGAGATAGTTTGGGTTTGGAGGGTGTCGACACGGCCAAGTTAAACGATTCTATCTGTGCTCAGCTGTGTGACGCAGGCATGCAAGCTCTAGAGACAGCAACCAGGTCAGCAGCTCTCTTCTCTCATTACATATATATCATGTTGTTGAACATGTTTTGGACTAGTTGTCCTCTGTCACATCCTCTCATGATAGGTTCTGCAGTGAAAATGCCCCTGGAGCTGTGAGAGTACTTCTTCCTCTGGAGACCTCTCCCTCTGTGAGTAAAACAGTTACTATTCATCAATTCAATCCATTTAAAATCCTGTTGCAATGCTCAAACACAGTGTTTGTCTTGGGTGTACAGTGTTGTACAGAATTACTTTTTTTCGTCATCTAATTTCCTGATTACTTTTAGAAAAAAGCCTTCAAGTTCATTTAGTTACTTTGCGATATGATTAATATTTTGTGGTGTGGTTTAGGTCCTGACCACTGCTGAGAGCATCACCACTCGTTTGGCTACAGAAAAGGCTTGCAGCTGGCTCTCCGCCAACATCACAAGTAGTGAAGCCTAATTTTAATGACATTTTAAAATGGCAAATGCTCCCTTACTTATTTTGTAGCACTTTTTTTTTTTTAAACAAGGATTTGAATTATTCCTGTTTGAATTTATCCCTCAGCACTGCTGAAGAGAGAGTGGAAGAGTGCTTTTGAGAGGGTGATGAAGAGTGTGCCCTCATCCGTCAGTTTGGATGCTGAAGAGGGTGAGGGATCGAGCAGGAGTCAACAGGTCCAGAAGAGTACCTCAGGGCTTAGTGCTGGGTCCTCTTGTGTTTCAGACTGCACCCATAAAGTTCCACTGGGATCAGAAGTCATGATTGAAATAAAGGTTATTATTGCTAATTGTACAAACTAGTTAAAACAAATACATTGAAGACTGGTGGATTGCTGATGGTGATTTATACAAAATATAATTTAATTGTGAGAAATGAGACTTCCACAAAATTGCTGAAAATAAACACGTAATTCACACAATTACTCAGCGAAACAACCATTTATTTATTTTTATTCTCAGACAATGTTATCAGAAGTGTTGTTACTGTAAATTAAAACTAAAGCTATTTAAAACCATTTTCATTATTTTAAACAGTTAAAATAATCTGTTTTACTACTAATAATACAAGTTGTAACAAGAAAGCAATGAGCAAACCTATGGTAATTTAGGGTCATTTTCAAATGCGAGTGAGTCAGATCACAAACCATGTTGTCTCATGTTTCAGGAGGTTTTAAGTGTTGCTGTAGGACCCAGATCTGATGAGGAGGTTTACACTGTTCATCAGATTGAGTCTCTGCTGGACAGAGTGGGACAAACACTTGGATGCAGAAAAGTAACCAGAACCCCTTCAGCATACTTGATTCAAAAATGTTTAATCCACATCATTCAATGTTTTTAATACTTTATTTTGAACTGTTTACTTTACTTACACAATCTCTCCTTTGTCCTGGTCTTTTTCTAGCTCCTTTCCCTGGTGGTTGAGCAGATGTTGTTGCGTTGTACTGTTCAGCTTGCCTGCAAACTTGGTGAGAGTGCAATTAATGGGAAATTGAGAAGAGAACATGAAGTCAATGCTGAAAATCTTATTGTGTCTGTTTGGGTTTGTTTCTATGTGCAGTATCCGGGGAGCTGCCACTTGTCTCCTCAGCCGAGGGTAACAAGAGACCTGCTCTTCTGGAAAAGTTTCTAGTTTTGTGGTCTCAGACTCCCTCTCCGCCTCTGCACCTTCTCCTCAGTGAACCCACTTTGACTGCCATTTTTAGTGCCACAGATAGTGAGGTAAAACTGCTGATTTAATCTTGTAGTTGATGCAGTTTACTTGTGAATGTAACCCTTATTCTGTGTGAACAGTAACAACACTGGTGAATTGGTGATTCAATTGTGTTTTATCCTTTAATATCCCAGAGGACTGACTACCTGTTCCTGATAAGACAGCTAATAGAGAGGGGTCTTTTAGGAGAGGAGGAAGTGGGCACTAAGTGGCCAAAGTTGTCGGCGTTATCTTGGCCAGAGGTAATTGCTTCTTACATATGATATGTGTTAACTCATTTTAGAGAGAGCAAAACATTACATTTTGAATTCTCACAAATCACTGTCTGATGGCGTTTCTCGTTTGCTCTTGTAGGAGTCTGTAGAGAAGTTTCAGCAGCTCTCTCTGGCCACCCAGTTCCCATTGCCTTCACTGCCAAACCACAGGGACATACTGCAGGTTTCTCAGTGACCACTAGGGGGACACATGAGTCTACATTACCAACTGTACACATGAATCCCAGCCAAACACTATTGTATTAACAGACAACAAGTGATGCATATTTGAACAAAAGAATGTTTAAACCTGCAATATATATGATTTTAAAAATGTTAAAGTCTGATTTATTGTTAGTTGCAAGGAGAGTATTTGCTGCTTAAAAATGCTGAGTTGATAGATTATAAACCTTAAAACACATTTTGTGGGGAAATTTTAGCAGGGCTTTGGCAGTTTTCACTCGTACTGCCTCAGTAGAAAAAGATAAAGACCATTCACTGTGCTTTCTTGTCATTTATGAAATCCTATTTATTTGTTTGTGTATCTAAATGTTTTTCTGCCTGTTTGTTGGTTGGTTGGTTGGTGAGTGTCTGTTTGTGTGCATTTCTTAGTATATATTTGCGGAAAATTTGCACTTTGTTAATGTAGGGACAATGTTTTCATCTGTTTAATGCTAAACCTATCTATCTAATGTAATAAAAATTTAATTTTGTGAATTGTGTGTGTGTTAGATTTATAGCTCAGCTTGACTCCATATGTAAGGCTGCACTTTTGACAAATTTCATGGGAATTGACCATTTTAAAATGGAAATAAAATAAAAAACAAGGAGAAGTCAGGGACATTTCTATAGAGAATATTCATTTTTCTCTGTAGAAGTAATAACTCAGTGTCACGAATTACTCCTGTGATGGCAAAGCTAAATTTTCTTTTCAGTGTCACATGATCCTTCAGAAATCATTCCAATATGCTAATTTGATGCTCAAGAAACATTTATTCTTTCAATGTTGAAAACATTTGTGCTGCTTAATAATTTTGTAGAAACGGTGATAATGAGCAGCATTCAACAATAAAGCATTTATTTGCAAGAGATAATGTCTGTCATTTTTAACCAATTTAGCGCGTCCTTGCCTTTTTATACAGTCTATGGTCCTTGCTGAATAAAAGTATTAATTTATTTTTAGAAAAATTTTACTGAGCCCATAATTTTGAACATTCGTGTATATGCTTTTAAAAGCGGAAAAACAATTGTCCTAATTAGCGTACACGAGATTATTATAAAGCAGAGACGTATAGTTAATACGTGCCTTCAGGCGAACACTTCGCCTTTGTTTCTTTTTGTATGGTCCTTGCTGAATAAAAGTATTAATTTATTTTTAGAAAAATTTTACTGAGCCCATAATTTTGAACATTCGTGTATATGCTTTTAAAAGCGGAAAAACAATTGTCCTAATTAGCGTACACGAGATTATTATAAAGCAGAGACGTGTAGTTAATACGTGCCTTCAGGCGAACACTTCGCCTTTGTTTCTTTTTCCAAAGTTTCCTACTATGGCGATGGCTTGCCTCATGAATATTAAAGACATACTGAAGTTGCTTCTCGGATTGACCAGTAAAAAAAAAAAATCCTAATTAATATTTGAGCCCCGCCTTATTCAAAATTCAAGGTTCATTCAGCAAATCAGAAAGAACTATTAGAACTAACGTCATCCTGCGACCTTAATATTCATGAGCGAAGCCTTCGCCATAGTAGGATTCGTAACCTCCCCTCCAGTAGAGACGGCAAGAAGTTTCAGCGCAGTTCAACTGCGGCCGCGGCTGTATGATGTGCTCTGTGATTGTCTAAAGTAGACGATATCAATAACATGACCCGAAAAACTTGCTATCGGTTTCCTCACTCTGCTCGGAATAATTCAGTGCTCTGGAGGGATTTAATAAATGGACTCTAACGGGCAGCTGAACTTCAATTAATCGTTGCCCTCCGCCCGGTGTCAAACGAATGGCAAACGTGAAAGTCGCGATTCGAGTCCGTCCGCTGAACTCCAGGTACGATAAGCTTTCATGAATCTTATATTGCATTAATTATCTGTAAAAGCTCATGATGAAACTGCTGAATATAGTCATATGGAGTTCATAAACAGCACTGAGTTGTTGGTGCTGTTGCTATGTCTGGGAATAGACCTGCGCTGACGGAAAGCCAAATGAAACAAATAAGCTGCCATTCAATAAAACTATTGCGTGAGCTCTGCATTTACACGTCTCATTATATTGCAAATCTGTATGATGTACTATATATGTAAGTAATTTAAACTTTTAACACGTCAATCTATAGATAAAAAAAAAAAATGATAGCATATTCAAAAACAACGCACAAGCATGCATTAAATATATTATGCATAAGCAGTGCATGTGAAGTTGTAATGAGCAACGCTGTTTTGGTGCACGATAAATGTACTAGCCTATAATCTCCAAAAAATCTCCTTGAATCCCCTTAAAACCCCTTCCCCCAAAGGAACTGACAGTACTGTATAATTGTAATGTCTTGTTTGTATCAATTTTACAGAATTGCATTACAAATGTGTTGCATCAGTAAAACCTAATGGATGTGTTTTGCTTTAACTTTTTTAAAAGGGGGGTATCCTGTACACAGAGTTTGCCTCATGAGAGCCCACTGCACCACCCTCCAGCATTAGCCAAATTACTACATTATGTGGGTGCTGGACAGGGGGGTAAAGAAACTCCTCCCAGATTGACACACAAAGCTGTGTGCGTGTGTCTGGCCGGAGCTGCTAGCCTTGACATTTAAAGAGTCTTCCTGAAGTGTGCATCACAAAGGACGACTTCATGGCTGTCCGTCTCTATTGTGCAAATGAAAATGGCTTTTTAACAGGCAGCCGTTGGTTTTATGAGTATGCGCATAATAAATATGTGACTTTATGCTCTTTGTGCTTTTGTCAAAAAAAAAAAAGACTTCTGTTTGAGTTCAGAGTTTTAGCTGCTGCAGATGGCAGGAATTGTGTGGGAATGGCACAGAAATCCAAGTTTGTAAACATGTTCTCCTCATAACGAGAGTTATTTTTTCTTTCCACTGATTATGTTATAAAATGCACCGTTTCTAGGCAAAAGTATGTACACACACACACACATACAATGACAGGCGAAGCAGGCTGTTGTGGGTAGGGCCTCCATTCATCATTGGCAGAGTGAAACAGACCCACATGGTACTACACAAGCTAAGAGCTTCATAACTCTGAGCATTCAGTGGGAGAGTCCATTGCTTAAAGGTGTGTAACATCTGCATTATCAGCAGCAAACAGAACTGGAAAATAGGTTCATTTTGTACATTTTCAAATAAAAAATTGTGCAAAACTTACCATGATACTAGGGCATTGTGAATGGTTGCTGAGGTGTTCCAGATTGTTTTTAGTGCAGTTGCCAGGGTGTTTTGGATGGTTTCTAGGGTGTTCTAGGGTGGTTAAAGGTCAAACAGAGTCAAAAGAACCATATCTTCAAAGTTGCAGTAACATGTAGTATTTTTTTATACAATTTTTATTTGATACATATACACTACTGGTCAGTTTGGAGTAATTAAAATGTTTGATTTTGAAAGATTTTGGCTGCATTTATTTGATTAAAATCATTTAGTGAATATTATTACTATTAATAATATTACAGTTAGGAAAAAAATGTTTTCAATTTATGCTATGTAATATGTTTTAATTAGTAATTTATTCCTGGGATGGAAAAGCTGATTTTTCAGCATCTTTACTCCAGTCTTCAGTGTCACATGATCCCTCAGAAATAATTTTAATATGCTGTATTGGGGGCTTATTATTTGCCAGCTATTATTAGTACTAAATTATTAATAATTGTTCTAATTATTAGAAATGTTGGAAAAAAATATTTTTGTGGAAATCATGATACATGTTTTTCAGGATTCTTTGATGAATAAAAAAATTCAAAAGAACAACACTTATTTGAAATAGAAATCTTTTTACAATATTGTAAATGTCGTTACCGTCACTTCTGATCAATTTAATTAAATTTATTTTTTAGATTAATTAATTAATCAATTAATATTTATTTATTTATTTTCATACCCCAAGCTTTTGAATGGTAGCGTATCACAGTTTCCAAAAATATTTAGTAGCAAAAACAATAAATGAATAAATAACAATAATAGTTATTATTATAATTATTTCTTTTTATTACTATTGTTATTATTATTTTAATAATAATTTAAAGTGTTATTTATTATTAATATTTAAGTTGAACACATATCCCATAGTGGACCTGAACATCTTGATTCTCATCAATTTCTAATCATCAATTTATACAAACTTGTTCACTTCATTTTTAGTCCCATAAAAACTGACATCAACAACAAACAGGTAGTCCCGCCCCAAACTCACACCATTGGTTGAGCCAGAGGTTGACGTTGAAAGTGTTTTGAAAGCACCTCAGAGCCACAGTGTGAAAGTCCACATACTGTACGAATGGCTTACTTATAGTTGTGTGTGCGCATTAAACTACATAGGAAAACATATTTTAACACTGAAAAATGACACACTGTAAGATGAAGTTTAGACAAACAAGACCTTCCCCAGCCGCACGTTGTCAGAGTTTAGATTTGTACACAGTTGTGCTCCTACACTGGATTTCATTCTCTTGCATCAGTTTTATCTGGAACCCGATACGGTAGAGATTGCACAGCTGTCCTCGCTGCTCTCTCACACACTGACACACATATCCTGCTTCTGCTCAGCTGTGCGACTCATGGAGGAGTTTTCAGCTGTCTGTTTTCATTTGAATCTGACCTTCTCATGCGGCGCAGCAGAGCTGTGCAGACGAATCCTCCAGACCCCCGGCCTCTCACTCCACTGCCCTGTCTGAATATGGGCCTGGATATGATCACAGCCAAATAAACATGCCTCTGAGGATTTTAGAAGGTTTATGGTTAACCTGGAGCGAATCAAACCATGCAATATAAAAACAAAAAAGTAAAATATCAGTTAAGAAGTCTGTTATCTTAGGGGAAAAATGTACTTATATTTGCACTTAAATTTTTTTTCAGAATTCTTTGATGAATAGAATGTTTAAAAGAGCAGCATTTATTTGAAATAGATATCTTTTGTAACATTGTAAATGTCTATGTTGTAACTTTTGATCAGTTTAATCCATCCTTGCTGAATAAAATATTAATATCATTCAAAAAAAAAAAAAAAAAACCATACATGCTCCAAACTTTTGAACGATAGTGTAAAAAACCAAGGCCTGCATATTTCAAATAACTAGATCATATTTGACACTTTAAATGGCATTTTCCCCTCGAGTCTTGGTTATTTTCTGACCCTGGTAACTTGTTATTCTACACTCTCACACGTTCAGTAATGAATGAGCCTTTAGCCTGTTTTGAGTCACAAACTTTTAATAAGGCACTAGAGTTTGTCAAAAAAAAATGTATGTGGTTGTTCTATAAATGTTTACTTAGCAGTGATCTGAGCAGTGTCTTGAATATCAGTCTGTTTGTTTTTGTTCTGCAGGGAGAGTCTGGATGGAGGACGATTAGCTGTACAAGTGGAAGACAAAGTGGTGAGGGTCCGAAATGTGAAGGTAGGTCCATTTTTGTTTAAATATTAGTTCATATGTAATATTTATGATTTATGGTGGCAGAAAGTACCCCTTTTTTTTTTTTTTAAATTGCACCAGAAATTGGCAGTTGTTGACATTGCTGTAAGAGTTCAAAGAGGAGGCGGTGTCGGGGTTAGATGGCTACTTGCAGTATCTCAGCAACAGGAAGTTTATAGTGAAAATTATTCTCTTCCTGCTGGATTACTCACTTGATTATTTATTCAGTGTATGAAAAGCATAAATATATTTGATTGCAGAAGCAACATGCTATTATCACCTTCCTCTTTACACATGAAACCCCCAAACACTTAAACAAGTAGCACAATTATCTTACACTTTCTAAAATCATTCCACACCTAATTCTTGACTGAGAGCTTCAAAACCTGATTGGTGGATTGTTCTCTGCTTCTGGACCAAATAGTGTGGTGATGACTACAGGCACTACAGGCCAAAAATATATTAAAAAAAAGATATTAACTAATTATGTGTCGGAAAAAAATTAACTAATTAATCACATATTTATTCTGAAATTCCACCTAACATTAAAGTTTTTAAAAATACTTTTGTATTGCAATAATTTCACATTCAATCTTCAAAATAATGTAGAAACAACATAGAGACAGTATATTTTTAATGTTTGTTTAATGGCATCTTTTTTATGACTGAAGGCGAGTATCACTGATACCAATATTACTGATGTCTCCAGGAAATTGTTCTTTTTTTCCTAATATTTAACCATTGACTATAGCCATTCAACATTACAGTATAATTGAGAGCTATCAATTTTAACATCTATTAGACTTTAAAAAATAACAACTTCTAATGTAAGTTAACTACTTAAAACAATCTTCACATACAACCATTATAATAAATGTCATATTTACCTGTGCTCTTCTGCAAGTAGGAAATATACAGAAATTGAATAAAGTTATCTAACACTAAATTCTAAATTAAATATAGATAAATCCTTAAAGTTACAAAAGTAATTGATTTCCTTTTTTTCTTTTGTTCTTTGATTAACAGACATCACAGCAGCCAGGTTAGGTTATTAGGCTGCTATTACTTTAAGAGCTGCCGCTGCTGAACATGATGCGGATCTGACAAGCACACTAGTAGTTTCATTTGTGCTTTTAATATGAATTAATACAGGCTACAGCGCGACGCGGTTTTGTGCGTGCAATTGAAGAGCACACACGCACTATAAGCACAGTTTAACAGCTGACAGGACAGGAAGATTTGTTTTACTGACATATGGCCTGACAACATCACATCTGACCACAGCAGATGATTCTACTGAAGCTCCTCATCACCTGGCTGTAGCGTTTCTGCACTCGTTTAACTTGCACCTGTCGCTGAGGAGAAGTGGAGGGCACGTCTGAAAAGTCTCCTTTTTGATGTTGTCGTAAAGATGTTCTGCATCTAAATAAACGCAATTGTTGTCAAGAAAAAGAGACGGAAGCAGCAGTTATGAGTGACAGTAAAGACTTTTACATTGTTACAAATAAAAATCTATTTCAAATGAATATATCTGAAATGGCTTTTAATGTAACAGTGTGTCTCAAATGTATAGACACATTCTTACTTCTGAAGCAGGAAATACTCCCTTGCAGTCAGCACTTGATTAATGGATTAATGAAATGGGAGAAGCCACATTTGGTCACCTGCTGTGAGCATGAGAGCAAGATAAAGACGTACTTTCCACCAGTTTTTTAAAGAAAGTAAGATGGTTTTCAAGGGAAAAGATGGGCTGACATAAAGACAAGTGTGGAAGGCAGACAATAAAAACAGTAAGAAACACATTTTCACATTGTATTAATTGTTCATGTTGCACACATTAGAGGATAAGTGGTCTATGATCAGATCATTGTTCTTTTTGATACTAGTGTCCCGGGGCAGAGAGCAGTCACATTAACTGAGTGATGAATGTCATGAGCCCAGTGTGTCAGTCGACGGAATCTCATTTAGAGTGAAATGAGAATCCAGAGGTCCAAGGAAGTCTGAAAGATGCATTTGTATGTCTTTATCCTTTGTTCACCTAAAAGTTAGGCTCTGGATTTATATCACCATCTTGAAATAATCATAATATAAATTCCTTGTATGTGCAAACATACTTGGCAATAAAGCTCTTTCTGATTCTGATTCTGATTCTGATATTATCAAAGCCATGGCCTAGCTGTTAACACAGATGCTTTGACACATTGTCTATACTACAGTTTCATGTACAATAGTGTGAAAGTTAAGTACTAAAGTAGTGCATGTTTCCCAGATCAGATTGTTTGTTATAAAGTAAAATATAATAGTTCAACCAAAAATGAACACATTTATAATTTACTCACCCTCATGTCATTCTAAACCTGTATAACTTTCTTTCTTCTGTGGAACAAAAAAGACGGTATTTTAAACATTGTCATTAATCAAACGGTTTTAGTGACAATTAGCTTACATTGCATGGACAAAAAAATTCAAAATATCTGCGTACATGCAGTGTTATTTTAGTATTTTTATATGCTATTACAGTTATTATTTCTATTTTGAATATGCGTTATTTTTTATATTTTCAGTTTTTGTTTTATTTGAAGTTTTATTGAGTTTGTGCTTTTGTCATTTGTATTATTTTTTTTTTTTAAATATATTTCTTTAGAAATATTTCTTCAATTTATTTTAAGTTTTACTTGTAATAATTTTAGTATGTCAAATTTAACTTATTTTAATTGTTGATCAGGCAACATTTCTAATTTTCACTAAAATTTAACTTCTCTAATATCTAATATTTATATTTTAATTTGTCTTAATGAAAATGATTTTTAATAGTTAACTAACAGTGCTGCATACAGGTTTGGAACAACATGAGAGGAAACAAAAAAGGGGGTAAGTTAGGCTTATCTTTTAAGTGCAATTTTAGAGGATCCAAGAAGAGTGAATGAATGCTAAATCTTTTGCCATTACTTTGAGAAGTGGTCCTATAAAATATTTGGACGTTTAAGCCACACTTAAAAATTCATGAATGCCATTTAAATATAATGTTTTTTAATGTAGGTAACAATGCTTTTGGGAAGGGTAGAGTTAAAATAGTAAAGTACTAATAAATATAGTACTTATATTAAAGTACTCCTGTTTCATAATGTTTCGGGAAACCAGGCCAATTGGAGCCATGGCCATATTATCAGATCTGATTTTGGGTATTACTATTGAACCTAAATATAACGGTGCTGAGTGCAATGTTGGGGCTCATTAGTGAAGCTGTGGGCCATATTGTGAGGAAATTAAGTAAGCTGTGGGATTGCAATTGTGTGAATAATTACACACCAGAGCCGCAAATGTAACGTTGTCTGGGTGACCGGTTGGCAATGCCCAGGCATGTTTCTGCACGCTCCTCCAAATGCACATGCTGTGCCGTGAAAATCTGTTTGACTGGGCGAATAATGAGCTGAGATATACATGATCTCTGTTTGCTGAGATCTGGGAAATAACTTGATGCTGAAGGGTCGGTTCGCGTCGAGTCATGCTCGGATGCTTAAGTCATTTGTCTCCCAGCCTAACTACTTCCTATTAATGTTGCTTTTGAGCCCACTAAAGAGTATCCCAGGCGTAAGCTACAGGCACCCAGTCTTGCTTCTTGGCATCAGTGTGCTGTAACATTATTAGTGGAAAAAGTTAGCACATAAAGGGCTGGTCTCCCAGTAACTGATTACATGTGCTAAATAGATTTTCAATGGAAAATCACTTTTCTCAATAAAGTCTAATGTAGTTTGTGAAAGCACTTAATGAGAAAGAATCATAATGAAGGGTTATCAGCTGCTACAAGTGTTGTATAAGAAAATCGGTATAATATAAAATTTGGCTGGGCGGATAACTAAGTATGTGAAACGTCTTCAATCATTTCAACAGAAAACCTGATATCACTGGCGCCAGTGAGTAGTTGTGTGATGTAATATGATTTATGTTTTAGTGACGTTGTTAAATAACATTACTGCTCATATTTGAGGATTTCAACCAACCACTAACCCTGAACATTAAACTCCAGAATGTAACTTAAGAATGAGACCTTAAATTGTGTGTTGAGAAGAGCTGCACTATTGCTATTTAGCATCCACCTAGCAGCAAGCAACCTTATAGAAATGCACTAAAAATAGGGGTGCGAATCCCAGAGGGATTGTTAACCACATAGTTGTTAACAACATAGTTCAATGATTTAGTGTTTCCCGAAACTATAACTCCAGCGAAAATTCACAAACAGCATCACAAAATTGTTCAGAACTACAGCTCTGTGTTAAGAAACATATATTCTTGTTAGTATAACATCTTGACTTAAATATATAATGCAAAGTAAGCAAGTTAACATGCAGTACAATCTATATTTTTCATATATATACATACATATATGTATATTTATATACATTTCATTCTATGTCTTTAAGTTTGTCAAGAAAAGGAAAGTGCCATTTTTGAAGAGTGCTCGAATGTGCATTTTCGAATGTGCTCTTGTAACCTGGGGGTAAGGGTGGGCGATATGTAGGGGTGTTCGATTTTTCGGAGTCTACTTCGAACTCCGAGGGAAAACTTAGAAGCCGTGGTGGAATATTATGTCAGGATTAATAAGGTGTTCTTTAATGAATTCGTCACATTATATTGGTCAGGGGATGGCGCTGCATGTCTTAAACAGCATTGATATTAAAAATAAATGCAATACATACAAATGTAAACGTATTGATTTGTTTATTCTTGTTTGTTTATCATCGCAGTGATCATTTACCGAGAGTTTCCGCACCAGAGTCTATTTTCGCTGTGCTGCACATGCTGAATTAACGTGACAGCGCATTGATTACGGTAAAAATAAACACGGATTGATACAAAATGTATTAATTACACTATAGATGCAAATAAGTAGGCCTAAAGTCTATTTTTTAACACGGCTTTTTAGCTATAGCGGTAAAGCAAGGAAAAAGTATAAAAACGGCAACATAGATGGCACTCGTGGAGTTAGAAAAAGTTCTTTATGACCAGCAGGATTGTAATAAGGATAATGCAAAAGAAAATGCAAGATACGGCTGTTTCTGTCAATGGTAAGTTTTAATTTAAATTGTTTGTGAAAGCCTACTACCTTTTAACGTAAGAAAAGTAGACTGCAGGCTGTTTTCATGTTTTGCCACTTGCTTAAGCATCTTAATAACATATAAATCTATACAGAATTCATTTTAATATCTTGCGCTTCAACGTGAGTATGTCTTTGAACGATTGTATTACTGTGTAAAAAGATAATCACTATGCTTAAAAAAAACTTTTTTTTTAGTAACATTCGTATTTGAAATCAAAATAATGGTGGTAACAGCCGCAGATCATAGCTCACTACAAACATGTGACAGCAGAATGAGCCCGTGCTGCTTCTGCACTGCACACGGACTGCACTGCAAACGGTTATTTACTGCAAAACGCTTAATTTCGTTTACTCTTTGCTGATATACTGCACTCTACTACCAGGCAGATTAAGAATCAGTGAAGACATCAGTGATTTCGGAGTCAACGTACAACGAGAGTCGATTCCAGTGCTGATTCAAACTCACTATAGACAAGTAAACAGTCAACGATTAAATGAAAATAAGAAACTAATTACCAGCAATTGGACAAAAAAACTACAGTAGAACAAATAAATAAGAAATGCTACATACATTGTATAAAGTAATCAAATGTACAGTATAAAAACACTGCATATTCTTCATTGTGTAAATTAAATATATATTTCTTCTTATTAAAGTTACAAAAGCAATTTAGTCAAGAGCAGTGTGAGATTTTTTTTCTCTTTTGTTTGATTAACATGAATGACAGACAGCAGGAATTTTAGACTGCTGTCACTTTAAGAGCTGCCCGGATCCAATACTGTTACACGTTTTCTTCCTCAGCTGTTTGCTTTCACTTAAGACCTACTGTGTTTATGAGGATACTTGCAAAGTTGGGAATTTTGACACATACAAGTGTGTGTGTGTTTAACTGTTGAAGGCCTAAAAAGTGGCATAAATAACTCCGTTCAATACTCCCTTGCTCTATGAGGACCGTCTTCACATGTGCGCGCAGATGTAGCGAAATGAGTTCTCTTTCGCTGCTGATTGTGTTTCAACAGCATACAATCACTTGATTTAAAACCGCAATTCTTATAAACACATACAAATGATAAGATTCCGTGACCATGTAGCACAGCAACGTCATGTGAGCATGTAACCGCGATAGAGACAACAGTCCAAAATCTCTACCGGTTAACCGTGTCTACCGGTATATCGCCCACCCCTACCTGGGGAACCCATGATTGAACAAAACTTCTGGAAATAAAACAAAACAACAGAGTACCAAAATAGTGAAGTAGTCTTCTGATGCCATGTTTAGTGTTTACATCAATAATCTGACATTAATTTGATCTCAAATTGATTAATTAGCAGAAGTTATTACACCACAACCTGTGTGATGCTGGTTGTGACACATATGTGGTTAGTTAATTACATGGGCGACATTTGACTCTTGAGTCAGGTGGGCAAGAAATAGAAATATATATATAAGATAAATAAATAAAAGCAAAATATTTTTTTTTCTGATGTAAGCATCAAAACAATGCCCTACCGTATTGCAACGCATAAAAGCAGTCAAGAGGTTGCCACCATTTAGTAAACTTTGGACTAGCTTTGGCTCTTCCTGCTGACTTGAATGGTGATGCTTCCCGTTTGTCAGTT